CGAGGACGCCGCCGGCCCCGTTCCAACCGAACCGGTTGGAACGGGGCGAGAAACCCACCCCTGGTAGAAGTCCACAAATGTGTGAGCTCCTTGATTTATGTTTACATGAAAGGTCCCCTTGTATACTACACATCAGTATAAAAAGATGCTATTAGATACTATGTATCTAAAAAAACCTGAAGTTATGAAACATCCCTCCTCTCATATGCATCCTTGTTTCAAATAGCATTACTAATATAGTAGACACGTTTCTATCTTCCAATCTTATTTTTGTTATAAGAAAGTTATAGTACTAAACTATGGACAGCTTCATTTAAATTAAATTCCTATCTTTCTGGAACTGGGTTAGATTCATTTGGGAATCATTGGCAAGCTAAATAAAGCTTTGGACAGATTTTTCCAGCATTTGTTCAGGACGTATTTGTCTCTATATTGTGTCAGGCTGTTAAGCACAATCTATTATTCTGATTACTGTTGCTGAAAATCCATGGGGACACAATTCATTTTCCACTAAAAGGTTTTGCTCCAACAATCAAATTCCAGCTTCAACATTTTTGTCTAATTTCTTTCCTTCTACGAGGACTTCAGAACAACGAGGCAGTGCTGCAAACTGAACCTCTTGTTCCTGATCTAAGGAGTTTTCTGCTCCTTAGAAAACAAACAGTCAGCTATTGCCCAGATAACTTGGGCTAAAGCGCCAACAGTTTTTTGCCTGTTGGCCATACCAGCTGAAGCTGATAATGTTAAGGTCTAAAATATCTTAGGGCACTTGAATGTCTTACTATATCTTAGAGGAAACTATTGCTGTACTTTCACTTAATCCACATCTCCAATGCTGGCAACAACAAGCTGGGAAACTGGTCGCATTGTCACACTAAATCATCCAATGGTAGTGATTGATGTCACATGGGTTTAACATGCTCTGTTGCTGGGAATTGTGTTAATATACCCGGAAAATGTATCTTTTACCTGATTAACAAAAAGAAACACCGGTACTGGTGTTTTCCATACAATGTGAACATTCAAATGTGGCTTTGCAACATGAAAGTCCATTAAAGTGAAGGGTAAGGTTAATGAAGAGATATATCTCAGTCTAGATCTCAGAATCAAGCCCGTGAGTTACATTTGGCAGCCTTGAAATTGTCAAGTAAAGCCTTGTAATTGTCATAGCAAAGGCATTGTTATAAAATCCAAGAACTTGGGAGGTGAAAAATTAAATAAGTAGGTTACAGGGGAAAAAATCTGTGTGTTTGCACAATGGCATATAACCTCTCCACATACATATCTTTACCATTCAGGATCCTGTGGTGAAACCAAAGATCGTCTTGAGGATTTGCTGTTCTATCCTAAAGAATTTGCCTGTGTGCATAGAGCCTTGAAAGCACTTGGCAAGTCCGAAGCCCTGACTTCAGCCAATGCGATTTTTTACCAACCAAGTGAGTAACAATTCGTTTATTTTAACTAAAGGCTTGGTTTTTAAAAGTCAGCATGTTCTCAAATGGAAAGAAAATATCTTCTTGGAATGCAACTGAAGTCTGGCTTGTGCTGGAAATTACACTTCAGGCTCTCTCCATATATCCAGCAATAGATTAACGCTCAAATCCCAAAATTATTTACTTCAGATTGTACAATTAAATTCTGCAGAAGTAATGTATGTTCTTTCAGATGTTCAGTCCCATCACTAGGTTAAATGCTAGAGCAGTGGTTCTCAACCTGTGGGTCGGGACCCTTTGGGGGTCGAACAACCCTTTCACAGGGGTCGTCTAAGACCATTGGAAAACACATATTTCTGATGGTCTTAGGAACCGAGACACAATTTTATGGTTGCGGGTCACCACAACAGGAGGAACTGTATTAAAGGGTCACGGCATTGGGAAGGATGAGAACCAGTGCTCTAGACCAAGATAAAATGGCAGAAGGCCTTTTTTAGCCTCCTTTCTGTTTGTTGAGCAAATGCTACAGTAGTCTTCCCTAAGCTGATTTGAGGCCACAGTTACTACATTCGTTTTTTAAAGTTGGAAAAAATTAACTTATGATAATTGGATTTTTAGCTAATAAATTTACTGGTAATAGTTCCTTTTTTTTACTATTCATATATTCCTAAGGCCCTCCAAAAAGGTTTGTGTGTAAATATGTTATAAGCATTTTTAAATTTTGAACTTTTTAATATTATTATAACTATATTTTCTTTGCCCCTTTGACAGACTCAGTCCAAAAATAATTTTAACATGTTTTTAAAACATACAAATGTAAAATACAGCAACAGAACAAAAGTGAAGGCTCGGTACTTTAAAGGAGAAGTTATGGTTCTCCTTTCTTCTAGTGACATTTTTGGACTTATTATGATTGAACATTTTTGTTGCTGATTTTCTCTTTTTACCTGGATCCATAAGCAGGATTCTATTTAATTGCTGTTTATAGATTTTAGCTAAGAGAAGTTGCTTATTCAGATCATTTCCCTTAGCTTAGTGTGAATCTATAAACAGCATATTAATTCATAGAACGTAGAATGAAAGGGTTGGAAGGGACCTTGAAGGTCTTCTAGTCTGACCTCCTGCCTATTCTGGACAAATGGTTGTCCAGTCTCTTTTTGAAAACTTCCAGTAAAGGAGTACCCACAATTTCCAGACACAAGCCATTCCACTGATTAATTGTTCTCCATTGTCAGGAAATTTCTCCTAGGTTGAATCTCTCTTAGATCTTACATCTGTTACTTCCTCTCCTGCTCTCAGGTGCTTTGAAGAATAAGTTGACCCCCCCCCTTCTCTGTGACAGCCCCTCAAATACTGGAAGTATGCTATCATATCACCCCTAGTCCTTCTCTTTGTTAGACTAGAGTTCGTTTCTCATTTATTTGTTTGTTTGTTTGTTTGTTTGTTTGTTTGTTTG